TGGGGAAATATTATGTTATTTATGTTATTAAATATTTTACCACATTTTTTGCTTCAAACATTTTTTTCCTATTTTCATCCTCTAAAACCTAAGTGCGTCTTATGGTCCAAAAAATACGGTGCTAGGTTTTCTTACGTCAGTTTGAGTAATTTATACTTTTCCATTTTATTGAAGCATAAATGTATTAGCATACAATTGTATGTTATATTGTTAAAATGTTTTCAGTCCCACATGTATCTCATTTCTCTTGTTTTAGAAAATTTACCAAAATTTTGTCTAGGTTGTAGGTTGATTGTCTTTCTCACAGAACAAACCCCTGGATCCATTCACGAATTCTGCCACTCTGCGGTTTTCCGGGAAGACTGCTCTCTGGGGAGCGGAGCTTCTCTCTGTCCCGTGGCTTCTGGAGTCCAGGCTCACGTTCCGTGCAGTCGCGTCATCCTGAGAAGCCGTGTCCTGGTGGCATTTTATGAGTGGGACTCCGCTTTCCATTGATTTGCGTTTCATTTCACAAGCACCTGATTTTCCTTTCTTTAATCTTTAGTGATCGATAGTTAAAGTTTCTCTAAAGAAACTCTGTGACTCCTGGGAGCCCCGATATTTAAGCCCATATGGAGCAAATTATTTTTGCCACCTCCAGCTTTTTTTTAAATATGGCGAGTGTTCTGAGAGTGGGCTACAGCTCTCCTTGATCGTGTCCACCTTCTACCTTTTGTTTATGCCTATGCACACCTGTTCTTATCATTTATCCCAGATCTCAGTTTATGAGAAAGGATGTAGCCCCTCATTTATACGTTAATTATTTTATGTTGTTCATGCAAGACACTAACCTCTCGTAGGGAGTGGACTTTGTTAACCAGGATGCAATTTTTCCTATCTGCTTTTGTGATTAGAGGAATTTGGTTGCAAAGTGGCCAGTACCTCTGGGGAACTCAGTTCAGGGTGGGGAAACAAAGGCTACTTACTTACTTGTTTGTCCCTGAGTAGGTGACCTTGACCTGGGAACTGGGAGAGTTGGCTTACCTTGGCTTGGGCCACCCTGGGCCCTTCAGTTTACCCATCCTTTGTGGAAGGACCCAAGTGCGTTGTCCCAGCTGGAGCCCAGGACTGGACAGACTCCAGGACTGGACAGACTGTGCAAGGGCCCGAGTTAGTAGTGGGTGTTGTGGCTCCGCTGCGGCCCCGAGTGCCCTGGCCCTTGGTGTTGCATTTGCCCCTTGTTACCCTGTTGCCATGGGAGGGTCAGAGGAAATGGTAGCATTATTTATAGTCGCCTTCCCACTGGGGTTCCAAGGCTCCCAGCCCACCCCTTCCTCCAGGCTCACACTGGCATTGTCCTCCTGTGTCGACATGGTCCTCAAGGGAGGGGAGTGTCGGCTTCCAGGGAGTCTGCTTGCTTAATGCTTTTAATAAACCGCCCACAATGACCTGGGCCAGGGCCAGGGCCTGGGCAGTGGGGCATTCAAAGGCAACCCTGGGGTTAGACTCCGCAACCCCTCACTCCCTGCTCGCCCAGCCAGTGCTCCACATTGGATCAAGTACAAAGTACGTGCCCAGAGCTTATGGCTACTTCTTTGCTGGACCGTCTCAGTCTGAGGCGTCTTCTGCCTCTCCCAGGAGCCCTCAGGACTCCCATGCCAACGGCATGCCTGGTGGTCTGCCATGACAGACCCCAAATTCCTTCCGGGAATAGCAGAGGAGCGGCCCTACTAGGGAGGTTTGAGACCATATATGTTCTTCATTGCCTTGCATCCTATTTTCCTATGTGGTTTCCTATCACCTTTTCGTTCTCTGAGTGGCAGTCGGGAGAGAGGAGGAGAGAAGGAGCCCCCACACCTCACAAATGTTGTGGAAGAACCAGTGCCTTATCCTCCCTTTTCCGTGCGATGTTTTATAGGAATATTTGAGAGTTGCTCACCATTAAGTTATCTCGTCTTTGGAAGCCCATCTTTTCTGCTCCCTTTCTTCATTCTCATTACTGCCACGGTCTTCTATACCCGAAGGCTCCCTAGAAAATAAAGAACCAGTAGGAGCTGATTAGAATTGTTCAGATGCATAGAAGCAGCAGGACGTGTGAAGCCATGATTGGGTCGCTGCTCCCTGGGAGGGGCTGGTATCACCGGAGGGCACGCGAGTGTGTAGGGTGTCCTCTCGCTGATTACTGCCCTCTGATTATCCCTCCTCCCCCACGACTGATTTCCTATCACAGTGTTGAGGGTGAAAGGGTTAGGTTAGTTAGAGCTCTTAAGTAAATGGTTTACCACCAGAGCCCACTGGCAGTGATTAAAATGCAAATTCTCTTACCCAGTAGGTAGAATGGGGTTTTGATGTATCCTTTTATTGGGTGGTGGGTGGAGAGAGGAGAATCAACAGCTGATTCAGTAATGAGGGCTCATCAGCAGAAATTGTTTCGTTTCTATGCTCCCAGGCACTTTTGTGCGGCACGGAATCTCGGGCTGTGGGGTGGGGAGAGAGGTTCTCCGGCAGAGAAGGCTCCTCTCCCTCTGCAGCGTCCTCCGGCTCGGGCGTGTCTGTGAGTCATGAGCACTGGTCCTGCCCAGAGGTGAGAACGTGGGACCCCCACCTGGAACGTGGGATCAGAGAAGGCGGCGGCCCTCAGGGAGGTGCCCCTGCCCCGGGTCTCGGCTTCCACGCTCCTGTGCCCACCAAATTCTGTAGCGACGCGTTCTCAGCCAGCTTACAGCTGTCTGAAGACACTGATTTCCAGAAGGGTCATGAATGGATTTGAGCTGTAACTTAACGTACATGTTATATGGCATTTGTTTGTGTTAAGAAATCAGACAAAGGTGATTTGTAAACATTCTCCAACACGTGAGGGGGAATTTTGGTCTAGCAAGGATGCCCAGACTTTTGGCATCTCTGGGAGATGCCACACTGGGAGAAAAAGAGTTGTCTTGGGCCACACACTAAAGACACAAACACTGAGGAAAACTGATGAGCAAAAACAAAACAAAACAAAACAAAACAAAACAGGTTTTAAGTAAGTTTACGATTTTGTGTTGGGCCGCGCACACAGCCGCCCGGGGCCGCAGCCGGTAGAGCTGTGCTGTCCGTCGCTGTGGCCGTCAGGCGCGTGGCTGATGAGCCCTGGAAAGGCGGCCGCCTCAGGTTGAGGCGTGCTGTCAGGATAACGTGCACCTTGGACTTTGAGGAATTAGTTAGTGAGGAAAAGGCATGTAAGGTAACTCATTCATAATTGTCTAATGTGGATTTCATGTTGAAATAATGTTTGGGGTATGTTTAGATAAAGGAAATATAGTAACATTTATTTCATGTTTTAAAACCTTTTAAAAATGTGGCTTAGAAACGTTATGTGGTTTAGAAACTTAAATGTGGTTTAGAAACTTTAAATCATGAATGCGTGTGAGACAGGATTTCGGTTGGACAGGATGTTGTGGTAAGTCTCCATCTGCGTAGGACTCCTTTTCCCCACTAGAGGGAGATGTGCTCCAGCTTCAGGACGTCGGCGCTTAGCAAGTGAACTTCACTGCTTCTGAATGTAGTCTTTTTTATAAGAAAAAAGAACTCAAGTTTCTGCCTTGTTTCAAGTCTGCATAATTCTGATGCCTCTGGAGGTTGCTCTGTGTATGAAAGTGAAGCTAAAACCAAAGAGGCCAGAAGCAGGGAGGTTTTCCACCCAATTTGTGTCGATGGATTAGGAAGTTCCTGTTACTTTTGTGCTGGATTGCAGTAGCTTGCTGTTTGCAGGCTGTTCCCTTGGACTTGAGTCTGTGCACAACACATGCATGAGTGCGTGCACACACACAGTGTGGTGTGCATGCGACTGTAACAGAAAGGACTGGGCCCTGCTGCAACCACACATCTCCAGCACCTGCCGGACCACGTGGAATGCCACGGAGAGTGTGGCCGAGCTGGGCCCTGCAGTGCCCTGGCCCCAGGGCTTGGTAGCCTCCCTGGGGCAGTGTTGCCTTGGGGTGAGGTGGGGCTCCTGTTTGTATCTAGTGTGTGTGAATCTGCCCCTTGGCCCTACAGTAGATCCGCATCATTTCATGACTAAGTTTAGTAACACACTCCCTTCTGGTTTTCCTGTGATCTTTCTGGGTAGCTCCTTTTCGATCTTCTGTGGTTTTTGTACTTCTGTTGGCCCAATAAGCAGTGGTTTTCCCTGTTCTTACTCTGCACTCTGTGCCTTTTGGGGTGGCGTCAGCCATTCTGGAGGCTTCCTCGTTACCCCTACCCTGAGGACCCCTGAGTCTTTATCTTCAACTTCAGGCACCCTTGAGCACTGAGGCACCCACCCAGCTTCTGACCGCATGTCACACAGATGCCCCAAACTCAGCCTCCGTAGCTCCCTGACTTCCTGTATTATGGCACTCATCAGCACGATTGTCATTTTTTTGCTATTCGTTCATCTCTCTTACCTAGTCCACAGTAAGCCCCAGGGGGGCAAAGGGCATGCCAGTCTTGATCTGTTTCATTCCTAGGACCTCACACTAGGCCTGGTTATTGTACACCCTCAAGAAGTATTTGAATGAAGGTTTTAGTATACCTTTTGTTTTAAACCAATTGTGTTGTTTGCTTATAAACATACTTGTTACTATTGTATGATTCCATCTGATACTCTCGTTAGCATTGTATCATATCATGAGGCTGTGATCACCACCATTGTGTGGAATGGTCTGTTTAAAGAAATTTTACCGCCTGCACAAGAGGGGCATTTGCACTGGCCCCTCCTCTGGGCCCTTGGGCTGGAAGCTTTCTCACTTGACACCTCTCCCCTTGTGAGCCTGATTACAAGTGGGAGGGGACATTTCCAGCTGCCCCACCACCTACGTCCAGGAACTTCGCTCACAGAAACCTGGAGAGGAAGAGCAAGGACCGGGACACGTTTCCATGCCTGCGGCCCAGTCCACAGCGGCTTTTCCAGGACACATTCCAGTTTCTTTTAGTGCCTCTGCGATTAAGCCAACCCAGTTTTATTTAGATTTGTGACTAATAGACTCTGTTTTTCTTGTCAGAACACGAAGAGCAATTGGACCAAGAATTTGACCTGGTGATTGGCACTTTGTTTGGAGGATTAAAGAAGGTACGAAGTGGATAAGTGATGAACCTTCTCAATTTCAGACTGGTTTCAGTCTGTTGCATCACTTTTGTATTGGCGTGGACCCAGGTGTGGTATTCCTCGGCTATTGGGAACTAAGGCTCTCTCCTGCTGTGGAAGGGGTGGGGGTGCCATGCCGATGACGCATCCCTCCCCCCCCCCTTCCTTCCCCTGTTCTCTCCCCAAGACACCGGAAACCTGATTATGTAAGCTTGTCAGTTGATACAAAATTCACTCTCTTAAAACTCAGGAACTTTCTTCCTGACCTAGTACATTTATTAGAGTTAAATGTGGCCCTGGACATCCCTACACCAACTGTTGCCAACTATAGGAGATTCTCCCTTCCTGCCTCCTAGTGTCCACAGAGCTGCAGAGCATGCTGGGAACCCCCTTTCCTCTCCTCCCTGGTGCTTCGGTGGCTGTGGGCCGGCTCATTTATCTCCGGCTGCAGCTCTCTGTTCTAAGCAAGATCTGCAATTCTCAAAGTAGAAAAATATTAGCACAGGCAGTGCTATTTTTCTAGAAGGGCTGTGCCCTTCTAGAGGTGACAGCACTCCTGTTTATTAGTGCATGTCCTTGGTAGGTACCAGGCCCTTCCCTTCCAGATTCGAGATGCTCAACTCCTCCTTCCTCCCAGCAGAGCCCACTGGAGCTGGGGTTCTTCTCGTTCTCCCCTTTCAGTTTCCCAGGACCCCACAGTGGTAACGCCCCGGATCGCAGGGGTCCAGGCCCGGCTCATGGCAAGGCTAGTGGCAGCTGTGTGTTTGTTTTTCTAAGCATTTTGGTATCTTTTTAAAAATGGTAGTAGAACATTGCCTTTTATTGCTTTCCCTCTAAGGGTATGGTATGCTGGATGTGTTGTAAGTTCAACCAGCTTTTCTGGGCTTGCTGGGACATAGAATGATGCTTGCGTTACAAGTTCTAAACACTCGGGTTACAAAATGAATGTTTGGAAGACACTTCATTTGCCAGCTGGACACTGCCTGTGCTAATATTTTTCTACTTTGAGAATTGCAGATCTTGCTTAGAACTGTAAAAGATTTACTTCAATTTCTATTTCAATTCTCTAGGGCAACCTGGCCATCCTTCCCAACCCTGGCCCTGTCACTGTAATACAGTACGGAGTCACTGTATTAGTTGTGAGATCCATGCTTGCCTGGCATGGGGAGGTGTCCCTGGCTTTTGTTGCTCTCCCCGCCGGGTAGGGCCAGGGAACTCTGGGTAGAAATTGAATTGTCATTCACTAAATAATTTGTAAGTGTTTCTTATTTAAATAAGCCCATTTCAGGATTACTCGTGGGACTTGTAAGGTGGGTGGCAGTGTGCCCACTTGAGGGATGAGGAAACCGGGGAAGCTTATGTCCCCGTGGAAGCTGATATGTCTTGGAGGTAGTCCTTGTGAGTGCCTGGGATCTACTTTTTAGAAACATGCCACCACTGGGTCTCGTACAACAGAAAAAATTGTGACTTATTTTCTTTTAGAGTCGCAATTCAGGCCTTTCAGAGAATACTGAATAGCTGGCCGGAGGCACAAACACACTGAGCCTTTTAGCTGCGGCGAAGCAGCTGTGAAGCAGTATGAGAAGGTGCACAGGGGTCAGGCCCCGACACGTTTTGGACCTACCGCAGATTTCATTGTCAAGGACAGGCTCAGCCCTGCTGCGTTTGCTGCTTCTAGACAAAGGGGACTTTGTCTTCACTGACTTCCCCGCTCCTGTCACTCATCAGGTCCAGCTGCTTGACACCCTGCCAAGGGTCTAAAGTCATGGGGAGATGGCTTCTCCCAAGCACTCTCCACAACAGTCCCCCTCCCCCACCATAAACAGAGCACAGGTGAGGCGGTGCCAGCGTTCCGGCCAACTCCCCTTTGGTCGAAAAGTGGGCCAAGTGCACCCACACACCCTTGGAGCTCCGAAGAATCAGTCTTTGGCCATCCTGAAAAATCTGTGTGTCCATCCTTCTGTGTATCTGTCTGTCTGTCCGTGTCTCTGGTGTTGCCGAGCACCTTTTGTTGTCCTCATCTTTCTGCTTGTCATTGCCTAGCACATGGGGTGGGGAGTCTGGGGTCCCAGAGTTTAGAGGGAGAACGGTGAGTCCTTGTGGGCGGGCCTTGTGCTGGGTCCCCGGGGAAGACCAGCGAAGTCTGCCGGAAGTCTGGTTTCGGCTGAAACAGAGGCCTGACAGGTCCTGGCATCCTCACTGAATACTTCCCTTCTTGGAGGTTAGGGACGGTGGCAAGTAAACACTGCCACCAAATGGGTCCAAGTTTTAACCGAAAGAAGAAAAACGGTGTGAGTAGAAATGATGAAGTTTAGAAGGAAGCTTTTATGTTCCCTGCACACCGTGTCCCCTGAACCTTGGGCGACAGCTGGGCTGCTAGACCTCAGGAGACCCGATAGTTCTCCATTGTAGGGGGGCTGCTCCGTGTGTTGTAGGGTCCCCATGGTCTCCCCGGACCCTGCCCAGTGGATGCCAGTAGCACCTGCTGCCCCAAGTCACGGCGATCCCAACGGTCCCCAGGCACGGCTGCAGGCTCCCTCAGGGCAGTCACCCTCTTTGACAACAGCTGGTCTGCAATAATATTTAGGGGTGTTGTACCCCGCTTTGTCACGCTGACTGCCATTTCTTACCTTCGCACATCTTGCTTCCCCCTCTGGGTGGTGGTGCCTCGCCCTTTCGGGCGGGCCTTCCTCACTCTCCACAGCCACGCCCGGCTGTCCCCCCGACAGCCTGGGCCTCCGGGTTGGGCTGAGTACTCAGAGTTCCTGCCTCTCCCTACTCCTTCCACAAACAGAGCTGTCAGTGAGCCTGCTTCTGCGCCCGCGTCCGTACCGAGTGCTGAGGCACAGTAGTGACCCAGACAGACAAGTTTCCTGCCCTGGTGTCTGCTGGTGGGGACAGACCACCAGTAGGAAGAGAAACACTCCTAACAGCCGCAGACTGAGCTAAATGATACGAAGGAAATAATCAGGGTGATGCGATAGTAATGCTTTGGATCGTACTTGTGCCCTCTGAGGGTAACTGTATTTGTACAGTTTTATTATGTGTTATGCATCCTACCCTGGATGCTGGCACCCACAGGGCAGGCTGGGATTTAATCACTCCCGTGTCTTCGGTGCCTGGAACAGCAAAGGTGGGTATTTCACTGAGTGTAGCTATAGGACGGAGTGATTGGCACCGGCCAGGTGGCTACACTGGAGTAAAACACATCCACCCTGAGGGCACCCTGGTAGGCAGGTCGCTAAGGGCTGAGTGGGCCAGTGTTTGTGGTCAGAGCGGGCAGAGACCACCGTGGGCACAAGCAGTCGCCAGCTGCTTCTGGGGAGGAGGCCGACCTTCCCCTGAGCTCCACAGCGTGGGTAGGGTTTGGCAGGGGCGTCTGCAGAGGAGATGCTCTTCCAGGGGGCTCCGCGATTGGCAAGGGAGAGGGGGACCCCAGGTGAGGCTTCCTTTGGGACAGTGAAAGGGAGCTGGGCCTGATGACAGTCATCCCAGCGTTGATGGTGTTAGAGTTCAGAGGTTGGTCGCCCAGACCATGAATGCCTTGGGGCCTTGTCACGTCTTCGGAGTAAAGCTGATTGCGCTCGCCGAGATGCCCGATGTGCAGGGGGCTGCTGTGGGTGCAGTTATCTGTCTAGGATGGGCTGGATCCCAGATGCTGTGGCATCTGCATCCTGTTTTGCAACGTCCACTCCTCCCAGCTCGGAAGTGCCTCCCTCGGCAGGTGCCCCGTGGTCCCCCAGAGCAGGTGTGTGTCGGGAGCCTGGGTGGGGCCAGGGGTGGGCTCAGCCCAGCGTTCCTGCAGTTCTGGCCGCCCCCTGCCTCGGCGTTTGGTGGTCCTCACCTCTCTTTCCTTGCTAGTCTCCTCGCTACACTCCTTGTTCAGTGTCGTAGCCTTGTTTTCAGACAGGGTCCGAGTCAGACTGATACAAGTGAAACTCTGTCAGCTTGCATTGTTGTGCAGTTTTTTCCCATGTATTTTTATTTCCGATTCAAGCTGTTGGCCCCATGGGTAGAGCATAGGTTTGGAGTTGGATGGGTTGAAGTTCAAAACGCAGTTTGCTGTATTTGGAGAAACTATTTACTTTAGGTTTTTTTCTGAGCCATAGTTTTATTTTCTGGTATATGGGACCTCGAGGTTGTGGGGAAAGTGATGATGGGTATAAAACGCCCAGCGCATACGTACGTGCTTGGTCTGGATGCCCAGTCCATGTTGTTGTGGTTACTTTTCCTTCCACGATTGATGACTTCCTCGTTTTAGAGCTAGGATTTGCTGTTTCCCTTCCCCTGGCAAGGACATAATGTTCTACAGAGAAACACTTCAATATTATTTTAAAATGTAGTTTAAATTTTTGCTGAGATATTGCTGCCGAGAGGAGCTCTCAACAGTCTAACGTTTTATGAAGAGTTCCACGGGGAATCAGCTCCCCGTTTCTTTCCCGAGGACGCCTCTGCCACTGGCAGGTCTCTGGGATGGAGCGCGCTTGTAAGGAAGCCAGGGCTCTCAGGAGTGGAATGGGGGGACTTCACACTGCCTGATGGGGGGTCAGAAAGGAAAGATGAGATCAGGAAGGGAGTCCGATCACTGTGTCTTTGAATGTGAAGTAAAGATGCATTTGTTTAGCTACTCAAAATTTTCCCATAAAGATTTTATGATTTAGCTTAGTTTATAAATTACTCTGTATTTACATGCTTTCAAAAGTCAAGTCCTGGCCCTGGCTGGTGTGGCTTGGTTGGTTGAGACATTGTTCCGTGCACTGAAAGGTCATGGGTTCGAGTCCCAGTCAGGGCACATACCTAGGTTGTGGGTCCGGTCCCTGGTTAGGGCCCATATAAGAGGTAACTGATCAATATTTCTCTTTCTTTCTCTCTCCCCACCCTCCTTTCTGTTTTGGTCCTTTAGCAAGGCCCAAAAGACCCCCAAAAAACAAACCCCCAAGTTCTGTTTTGATTCATTTAACAAATAAATATTCACCGAGCTCCTA